CGTTTCCGGAAGGCTTCTCAAAACCATGGCCACTTTCATCTCCTGCTCGAGCTCCAAACCAGCCGCCTGCAACCGATCAAAAAGCTCCTCGACGTCCAGCAGGTGCGATTCCATATCGCCTCCTTCGTGCAAATTCTGCACAGTAGCCTTTTCGTGGTGCGTTTTCAACGCATTCCACATCGCACGCGCACTCTTTGCATTTTTGAGCAACCCTAGCTGATTGTTTTCGATGGTGAGACCGATGGTAGCTTTGGCCTTTTTATCCTCCTTCGTCCACTGCGCAGTGACGGGCTCGGGCTTGGCCTCGTCAATGACATGCCACAACTCCTCACGAGTAAGCAGCATCTCCATCCGGTATTTCCAAACGTTCCAATTCGTGTTGGAAAGTCTCGGGAACGAAAACTTCGCAGCGTCCGCCATCTTCTTCCACCTCGAGAAAAAAAAAATCCTCGTGCGTAAAACTCGGAACTTCCCGAATGTCCGCACGAAAAAACTGGGCCCATAACCTGTCGGAGGTTTGGGCAGTGTAATCCGCGTGATTCAAGTGTGGAATTCGGGGTAATAAAATATGACTCGCGATTTTATTGTACTTAACTGAATTGCGTTTTATTTGTAACTGATCGATAGCAAAAACAAAGAGATAGAATAGGGTTACCAACTCTGTGACATCGCACTATATGCCCTGTGGGAACAAGGCGGTTCAACAGTTTTTTCCTCTCACTCTCTTTCACTTTCCTCTTACTATCTTCAACTATCTTCTGTCTGCACAGTAATGTTTGGTATTTTTTAGGCTTTGTCTGGTTTGAATATTTCACCAGAGACTATCGACCGTTTATCTTGATGGTTCTTTGATGATAGACCTGATCGGTGTATGTAGCCTAGAAATACGTTCTTCGGGTCACTGTCCTTTGACTATTGGTCAGTGACCCAGGCCATTCGTTTTCCATTGCCAGTCATCGTGTCCGTTATGCCGTTCATAATGGCCTTTTTTGTCGTCACCTCTCATGGCCGCCTAAATGCTGCTTTTACTCCATCTGGTGGTGGGTTCTGTAGACTACGGTGGGTGGATGGCTGCGTAATACGGTAGGCTACTCTACTCTGGCCTACCAGGGAGATTTACTGACGGAGAAAAACTGCACACATATACGAACATTACTTGCCATGATTTTTCAACATATTAACGAGTACTCTACACGATATTCTAAAAATTACTCGACACTGTAACGTGACCACTCACAAACCTAATGCTTCTAACGTACCGCAACTATAGGAGCGTTTACTCTATATAATCAAAAATGATTAAAATTCATTCAACAAATATTAAAATTCAATCAAAAAGAATTAAAATAATAGAGTAAAAACTTATTGAAATTTATTCAAACACGATAACTTTTTAATTTGCCTCCCAAAAACGTGTAACAGCAAGTTTGCAATGACATAACTTAGCCATTTCTTGGTGAATTTCAAAAATTGTGGTAGGGGAAATGTTGGCTTCGGCAATACCTTAACCTATTATCGTCAGGGGGTAAACAGAGTCCTTGAGCACTCAAATTTGGCCAATAGCTGCTCTGAAACACAATGTATCTACATGCTAAAATTGAGCTCTCAAGGACATTGTTTACCCCCGTGACGATAATAGGTTAAGGTATTGCCGAAGCCAACTTTTCCCCTACCTCTAGAATTCCTAGGCTCTGTAGATTATTTTCATTGCAGAAACGTTAAAAACAGGGTTGTCTAATTTTTTTAAACGCGTAAAGAATCGTTACACGTTTTTTAAGGTGTGTTTATGGGTTTTGCAAGTGGTTTAAGATCCATAGTTTAGATTAATGGGCTCAAATGTTCATAATTAGCCAGAATACAGTCATGGTTCCTATATAACAAAAACCTGGATATAATGAAACGGTTCTCGAAAGATCCGGAACATCCGTAAAAGCGGTCTATCCATAAACCCCTGATCCTAGAACTCCGTGGTTTTTCGAAAACATTAGGAACAGTGATATAAGAAAGAAGTTGGGTTCATGACATAAACATGGACCTAGATGGCCATGGGACCGTCCTCGGGAAGATCTGGAACATCCTTAAAAATAGTCAATCCATGAAACTGATCCTAGAACTCCGTGGTTTTTTCTAAAACATTAGGAACTGTGATATAAGAAAGAATTTGGGGTCATGGCGTAAACATGTACGTGCAGCCTAAGGGAATCAAAGGGATTTATTGACTGGACGAGGGTTCGTGGATTTGCCAGTCCCTTGTCACGTGATTACAGATGGCCATCTGGTTGTTTTGTTTTCCAAAGGTCTTCAATGAAGCTGATTCACCCTGCTGCAACAAAACCATCAGGCAGAACTTTACAACCGGTAAAGTATCTGCAGACATTGGTAATCCTTGCACTTGATTTTAGAGCTCGGCAGTTTTAGAAAAACACTAGGAGCTATGGTGATAGAATGAATTTGGGGTCGTGACAAACATAGGGCCTCCCTTAGCTCGGTCGGTAAAGGCACAGCTACAAAGCAAGATCATGCTGAAGGTGGCTGGGTTCGATTCCCGCTCCGGTCTAGGAATTTTTCGGGTTGGAAAATTTCTCGACTTCCCTGGGCATAGAGTATGATTGGACTTGCCACACAATTATACTAATGCAAAAATGGCACAGGCATCGGAAGCGCTCAATTAATTACTGTGGAAGTGCTAGAACACTAAGTTGAGAGCACGCAGTAAGCTAATATGCGATATTCAATAAGCTTGAAATGCGAAGAAAGAAAGAAGAAGACAAACATGGACCCTGATAGCTATGAGACCGTCCTCCGAAAGATCCGGAACATCCTTAAAAGTGGTCAATCCACGAAACTGATCCTAGAGGTCTACGTTTTTTTTTTTCGAAAGCATTTTAAACTGTGCTGTAATAATAAAAAAAAATTGAGGTCATGACATAAACCTGTACCCGGATGGCCATGGAGCCGTCCTCTGGTAGGTCCGGAACATCCTTAAAAATGGTCAACCAATGAAACTGATCCATGAGTTCCACGGTTTTTTCGAAAACACGTGGAACTGTGATATAAGAAATAATTTGGGTCGTAACAAAAACATGAACCCGGATTACCATGAAACCATCTTCCGGAAGATCCGTAAAAGTGGTGCATCGATGATACTGATTCTAGAACACTTCGAACTGTGAAGTTTTTCGAAAACAAAAAAATCATCAATTTTTTCACAGTTTCATGTATGAAACACTTTTACGGATGTTCCGGATCTTCCGAATGACGGTCCAATGGCCATACAGGTTCATGATTATGTCACGACCTTAAATTCATTCTTATAACACAGTTCCTAATAATTTTTTTTAAATAAACTGCGGAGCTCTAGGATTAGTTTCATGGATTGACCAATTTCACAGATATTTCGGATCTTCCTGAGCACGGTCCCATGGCCATCCGAGTCCGTGTTTATGTCATGAACACAGTTCCTAATGTTTTCCAAAAAACCGCGGAGTTCTAGGATCAGTTTCGTGGATTGACCAATTTTACGGATTGTCTCCAAGATTTATATGTAAGAACCATGACTGTATTCTGGCTAATTATGAACATTTGTGCCGATTAATCTAATTTATGGATCTTAAGCCACTTGCAAAACGCATAAACAATCCTTTAAAAAAAATGTGTAACGACTCTTTTCGCTGTTCAATAAAGTAGACGACCCTATTTTTAATCTATTTATAATTTTTGAAATTGTCCTTCTAGGGGAGGCTGTCTGCGTAGTTAGTTAATGAACAGCATCTTAGTTGAACGGAACCCAAGTCCCTTCCACCCCTTGGTTGTCAAGGTGATCCACCTTTAACCGCCGACTTGCTCCTGCTTACTGCAGGACAACGTGCCAAGCCGTCCGAAGCGGTAATGTGCAGTGAAGAAGCACGACAACAGCGCTGTTTTATATATTTTCAGGTTCAAGCAGAACGATGTGCAACCAAGTGGTACTCCATTATGACGACTGGGTTTGGGAAAAATGTTTATTTCATGAAAACAGTGATAATTTTCAAAAGTTTTTTATGGAAAATTGAAAAAGTATTTATTTTAGCAGATACGTAAGGTAATATCCTATCGATTGGCGTATTTGGATTTTAATTTCATCTATAAATGAAACAGTTACAAGCGTTCAAAACCTAACACTATTTCACCACACATATTTTTGATTTGCACCCCAGTATAGTCGACAAAGACGTTACTCTACGTCAAAAAACGAAAAAAAAATTGAACCAGTTTTGAAAGCTTCTATGATACCAAAACAGTATTCAAAACAAAGATCTCATTTCTTTTTGATTCCACGCTGCTTCTCCTTACAAACTATACAGCCGGTCGAAAGAAGAGAAAAATAACCGGTGGATGATAGCACGGAGGATGGAAGCCCGAGCAGGAACGAATATCTCGATACCTTAAATTGGTATGGATGATCCTGACGTAAGAGGTAAAATACCGAAAAATTGTTCCCACAATACCATTTCAATACCAAATTTTGATAATGCAATTCCTAAACAATACCAACAAGGTATTCTTTTGGTATCCAAGTATAAATTTTTGGTATTTACAATTTGCTCGTAATTTTTTGGTATTATTCTTGGGTATTTTACCTCCTATGTCATGCTGGTCAATACCAAATTTTGGTATCTGATCAGAATTAGGTATTCATTAGTTATTTTTTCCTGCTCGGGAGGCCTTACAAAAGAACCTACACCGCATTGAAAGCGCCGTGCCGCGAGAGTGACGTACATATTTTCCCATCCCATTCAGAAAGGAACCGTTATGTTTATATTTACTACAGCCCTAATAACCACGGACTGGCAGTGGCTGATTCGGTGCGGATCTTTTTGCCAATACTTTCTCCACGCTTGTCTGGACACTGTTCGTACTATATTTCTTATAAAATGATTCGGTCCACTTATTCAAGCGTAGGTACTAGGTGTTACTGCAATGAAGGGATCGTATGTGGTGATTATTGTAACGATTCTTACCCGGAGCTACGTGGCACTGTCCTGCAATGGAAAGGGTACATAAATGAATAAATTAGCATCTCAAATAAACTGATAGGAGATATTGTCAGTAAGCACAAGTGAGGACCAACCGGCGATAAGAGATCGATGGCTCAATCAGCTGACTCAACGATTTCATGCATTGCTTAGGAACATTGAGAATTTGACGGAATGAGGCGGGCAAACAGAGACTGGCAGACACGTCGACCTGTTTTCGTGAATATTATTACTCAACCCGGCTCTTCTACCGCACTGGAACACGTATTCTATTTTGATACTCTGGACTGCTTCTTGGATGAGGAGAAACTCATCCACCAGTGTCATTCACTCTCGACTTCACTGCCAAGGTCAGAGGTTATCGACTCTCGCGAGATTGTTTTGTTCTCTCGCATGTGGACTCGAATAAGATGCCAACACTGGAGTGATTCCGATAATATTGAACCATCATCATTATAGGTGGATCCTCACGAAGGTTTCATAACAATCATACTCACCCACAAAGAGTGACACCACGACGAGTACCGCTAGCTGTATCTTCATTTTCAACCACTTCCTCCAATTAAATCAAATCAAACCAGTTTCACCCTCGAATCAATGCAGCATATTCGAATTGAACTGTGCCTCTTTGGTGGTATTTATGGAGCAACTGTAAAACTATGCACCACACAATTGATATGCTCCCGTCCCGGGTTTTCACTGTTAACACTTGGCAGCTTTTGGGGATAGCAGCACGGATACTGCAGTAGAACGGAACGGAAGGGACTAGAGACGGGATATGGGAGAGTTGAACGTATATAGCTACATGCGATCCTACACCGGAAAGCGGGGACTAGTAAACTGATCGCGACGGGTGCTAAAAGAGAACTGAGTTTCGAAAGAGAAGCAGAAGAGATCAATGTAAGGCCTGTCGGTTGGCTGATGTAGAATAGCGCTCTTCAACAGACGAGATTGCCGGCTTCCCAATTCCAGCGTGGTATCTGGTTGGTGTGCGGATGGAAACGGTGTTTCAATGAGTGGATTTTATTGGTATATGAAAACAATATGCACTCAAAAGATTGTTAAATTTAAATAGATTAAAAGATACGCTAAATCACCACCCACACTAATGCAATATGCTTTGCAGTATTGGGAAATTGCCGTAAAAGCTCTTCGCAGATGTCACTACTGCATCATGATGATAATGTTGACAGACTGCATAGGAAATTCATGAAAATGAACAATTTTCATCAAACGTGCAAAACACCCTTCCAATACAACCTTCGAATTGTGTAGGAAAACGTCATTCCGATTCGAGCTGGGACTTCAACTATCTGGATACTTTAGTTTTTCCAATAAAATTACTTTCAAACATATGAAATATCGTTGAATTTCCCTAATAAAAAATTACCATAAACGAACGATAACCCAAACGATTGAACTATTTCACAAATTGTTTGGATGAGTCGTTAAGCAAATTACCCATAACATTTTAATTAGGGTGATATTCAGTATACAGAATATCATGCCCAATATTGAAATAAAATAAATTGAGAAAACGTTGAGATGGTTTTCAGGCGGATAGTAACTCTCCGGATATCCGGATAGTGAAATAACAAATTTATTATCCCTTTAACAGCTTTCTTTTTTACTGTTCTAAATATTTGTCAAAAAGTTTGTTTTTAGGTGCCAATGATGTGGAATGGCAGATCTGTTAATTGCCAAAATTTAATAAAATTGAAAAATAAAAATATCCGGATAATCCGAGTCCCAGCACTAATTCCGATGAGACTTATGTGCATTTTTGACTTTTGAATTTCATACGAAACATTTATTTCATTTCACGACACCGTCAATGCTACAGCGTACAAAATATGTAAACAAAGGTAAATTTCATAAATTGGTTCAAATAAAGATGATTTGCTACTATAGTATCACCACAGACAAACAGACATAACTCTTAGAAGAAAATTCTTCAAAAAATATCGTCAAGCGTATTTTGCATGCGCACTAGCACCATCTATCATCCACAATCCCAAGCATTGATGTGCAACTAGAGCATCCCTCGTTCATGCCATTTTTTCACCAGTTGCTTTCCCTCGTTCTGTCAACGCGTCAGCTGTGTTGAATAAAAACAAAACAGATGGAAGTCAGTGATGTCGGTTCTACTAAATTTTCCGTAGATCTATAGAATTGATTGAATTCTGCAGAAATATGGATCCGTAGGAAAAATTCACAGTTGCTAAGACTTTTTTTAGCGATTTGTTTTGTTTGTTTATTGTGCTTTTTCTTTTGCTCGAAACAAGTTTTTAAACGAGGTAATGTATCACTAATTAGTGCCCTTTCTACCACCGCTCATCACTTTTATGTGTGTACAGCAAAAAATTAGTATATGTATCAATCAATTAAATTCATGGAGAAGTATTGAACATCAATAACTGGTAAAAGGGGTAAAAGTTGAAAGAATATTACAGTCATCAGCATAATTTGTTCTCGCATTCTGTGTCAATCTTACAGCGTAATATTTTAATTATTTAATAGGAACGGAATGACTAATGTGCAGCACTTTTGATGTAATATTCAACAACTTTTTTTCTCTATTCGTCAGATGTGGTATGTGTCTCCAGTGGGATGCCATGACCACCTATCATTTTCAAGAGCTGACATCTACTATCTAGACGTGAAAAAGAACTGGCATCACTGATGGCTTGCTCAATGCTTCAGTGGCGCCACCATGACAAATGCAAGCACATTCCCAACTAAAACATTATTTGCGATGAATGTGATTGTGAGAGTTATGTCTGTTTGTCTGTGGTATCACTGTAAAACCATCTAGAATCATTCTAGAGTAGAGTACCTGTTGATTAAATGAAGGTCAGTTGTATTTTCCATCGACATGTGTGAGTTTCCAAATGTTTGCCTAAAAAGTATTATTATTAACTATTATTGAATAATACCGTCCTATACAACCATTTCTCCAATATCCCCAGCATAATTAAAGCTTTCTTTAGTAAACGTACTCAGTTCATCTAAGTTAAAATCACACATTTTCAACATTTCAAAAAAAAACAGCTGCGAAAGAAAAGAGATGAACTAGCCTCAGGCTAAAAATCTCTATAATAAAGAAAAAAAAAAAAAAAAAAAAAAAAGCTGCGAAAGAAAAACGTGTTGTGATTGTTGTGCCAGACAGAGAAACAGATGTGTTTCTCAGCCAATTCGAGTTTTCTTCTACAATCTGAACATTCGGTAATCGATTCGGTTATTTTTTATCTACAATTTGTTCGGTAAAGCTGTCTTGAACAATTTGTTCGGTAAAGCTCTTGAGCTGTCATAAGTTACTGGCCTGGACTGTGAAAAATATTGAATGATTGGTAAAGCTTACAATACAGTACTTGTTCGCTAACTGGGCTAGAAGTGCAGTTTAGTTAGCGAATTCCACTCGCTGACTGGGCTGACTTGTCAAACGTCAAAAAACAGTGATGGGAACTTCGATGAATTGTTTGATCGACGTTAAAAATTTAATGTGCATTGAATTGAAGCAGTGTAAAGCTTGTTATTGTTATTTTCACTGCATTCAATTGCGTGAGTTTAGAAAAGCTTATCGCTTTCGATAAAAACGCATTAAAGTCCTGATTTCAGTGTGAAATAAAAAAAAAATCAAGTTTATTTATATTAGCACTTAATGCCTCGCCAAGTTATAGCATATTCTAACTTTATTTTGCTTTAATTTTTTTGTTTATATGGGAGAATGTAGCAACTTTATAGAACTTGAGCAAACCTTTAAGAAAAAAAAGTTGGTTTTGAGGCCTCACTTGCCCCATTCTCTCCTAAAAGCTTATGAAGTATTGGAAAAAAATATCAAATTTGCTATAACTTTACAATGAATAATTATAATGATTCGTGATCTTCAGCAAAAACGTGTGTTTTGATTGTTTTAATAATTGTCTAGAATTTTGCATACTTAAAAATCAAATTTAAAAAAGTTCAGCATGAAAAACTATTTAAGGGTACTTCCATAGAAAAAGCTCCATATCTCTGAAAATACAGGATTTAGAATTTTGACGTCTTCAGTGAAGTTGCTTGTTTTCATATTGTCCACAACTTTGTTGAAGACATTATTCCTCTATATCATCAAAAAAGTTAGTTATTATATTTTTATTTTTTGCATAGTAAGAAATTACTAATTTTTGACAGTTTTATATTATGAAAAAAAAAACATGCAAACATTTTTTTCCGAAGACACTATACGGCTAAAATGTAAAAGCCAGGCTCTAGGAAAATAGTTCCACTTTTTGCTGTTTTGGACCTCAGTGCTGCCCAGTTAACGAACGCCCAGTTAAAAAGCAGCCTAGTTAAAGAACGCCCAGTTAGCGAACAAGTACTGTAGCGTTCAGTATTTTTTACCGAAATATCAGTACATTATTTTCCTTTCTGGTTAAATAAATAACAATTTAATCAGCAATAATTACCGAACGTTTTGTTCCATTCACATATATAGTATTGTGTTTTAATCAAATAAAATGATAACAACAAAGCAAACAGTTTATAGTCTATTTTTAAATATTTGCGACAAAAAAAGAAGAGTTCTCCAGGTTCAAGTCCAGCAGGGAATCCACATGGAATTGGATTTTTGAAGTGGAGAGAAACATTAGGTCGCCTTAAGTCCAAGATGACTGGAAGCGATGGTCTAGGACCGCACTTACTTTTCACACAGGAGAACCAAAGAACATTCAACCTAGAAATAGTGGCAAAGGATGTTTTTAACAATATGACATTTATACATCTGTTCCGTAGTTTTTACAAGAATCTTGTACTTAACTACCGTTCGCCACTTTTTGGTACAACATGGAAATGGTCACCCTAATGACAAAAAAAAAAAAAAATCGGGTCTAATATTTTGCGATAAGGAACATAACTACCAATTTTTACGAAATTCTGAGAACCATTATATCACAAACGAAGTGTAAGTAGGGTTAACTACCCTATTTCCGGCCTATTAAGCACTACCCGCAATCAGTCTTTCTTAATCTAGCGCAGTTTAGCACCAAACGGAATGTTATTATTACTCATGGCTTCCAAATGTATTTACCTTTCCGTACGTACCGTAAGATTTGATAAAGAAAAACCAATCGTTGAGATATTGTCAAAAGTCTAACATTGCTTCTAGACGCCAAACTCGGCCTACGGATTTTAAACTCGGCCTAACGCATTGAAACGCTATTGAAATGCCAATGAATTCACTTCGGCCAATCGGATGAAGATAAACATTGATTCGGTCAGAGCGCTTCTTTTGTGTTTGGGAATTATGGATGCAAACCTTCATATCACCCGTTTTCATTGACTTCATTCGGTAGCTTATTAGCTAACGTATCGTACCAAACGCATAATTGACTTGTTAACTCTGAAATTATGGATTTATTTGAAGTTTTCTGCTCGATAGGCCCAAAATGAGCGATTAGGCCGAAGTAGTTCTCTACCCTATCACTTCGTTTGTAATTATATCGTTCTGCTATGGAATGGCTGTACATATGAATCCTGCTCATTTTCAATAGTTTATTGCTATACACAAGCAGGTTTATTGGTAATTACGCATTAAACTATTGGAGTTTCCCCCTCTTTTAGTGAGCATTTATTAAACTGCCATTCCGAGATAGAGCTGATTTCTTACTTCTGGTTTTAAACTGGACCACATTGTATTTGCTTAGTTTAAGTGGTAATTACTTTCTTGGAAATAAAAACCATATTTTAAAAAGGTCTCCTTCTTAATCACCGTAATACTCTAAAGGCCCACGCACATTAGATCCGGATCGGACGCGTTGCGGCAAAGTGACAGCTAAATCTATTGTCTTACTGTCAAATTTACGTCAACGC